CCAGGTGAAGAGCCTGCTGTTTGGATGGATGCTGGGAAGATCTTGGTGAGGGAACGTGGAGCTGACTGCTGGCCTTTGCTTAGGGCTGCTGGGAGAGTTCAACTGGACTGCTGATCCCTTTTAGAGGAAATTTTGATTTTGTTTTTTATCTTAAGGCATGGCATGCAGTAGAGATCCAAGATAGTGGCAACCCAGCAAAGTACAAAGAAGGAGAGCATTTGGGATAATTAGGTCGTGCAGTTTCTGATGGACCAATTAGTGAAGTGACAGTAAGCATGGTCTAGTGTTGCTTTGCCCCTGAATCCAGGGGGAGCAAGTGCTTTGAGTTACTACTTCTTGGAGCTGAGTTTCAGCATAGCTATCATTTGTGAGTTCCTAAGAGTTCCTTAATAGGCTGCTTGCCTTAAGATAGTTTCCTTATGCTTACAAAATGGCATTTGCTGCACTTCAAGTCATTTCACTAAGTGTCCTGTGCACCTTTCATGGCGTAATTCCTTAGACTGTTCTTTTCTTCCTTGTCGGTCACTCCATTTCTTCATTAATGAGGAGTTATTTATATTTTCTTTTTGCTCACCAGAGGTTGAGAAAGCAATGTACTGAGAAGTAGGGTGTTGGGTGTTGGTTGTTTTTTTGGGAGGAGGGGAGGTGGGCAATTTGGGGATTGAGTTTGGGTTTTTTTAAAAAAAATAAAGACCTGCAAACAGACAGGTACTGGTTTTGCTCTTGTTAATATGTGAGGAGGAAAGGACACCAAAATCTTAAATGTTTCCTGCTGTCTTCTGTGTCTCTTGCTGCTCTCAGTGTCCTTGGAAATAGTTTTCTACATGAAGATGCACGATCCCCTATATTAGAACACTTTACATGGAAACTTGGATCCTGTTTCAAAACTGAAACCAAGATGTTCCCTTGTTGCGTCTGATCCTCTAGAAGTTGCGTGTACTATATCCCCCAGAATAAGCAAGCCTGGTCTTCTGTCTCCAAGCTGAAATGCAGCACATCACTTTGCAGCCTGTTGTGTATATGCACCTGTTAGCAAAATGTGTAGTCTTGCACTGTATTTGATCTAAGTAGATGATGATGGTTTAGCTGCATTTGAGTGAGGTCTTTACAATTTAAGCTTGGGCTATTTAAGTAGTGGTCTGGTGAAAATTATGTTGTCATAAGAAAGCATAATCAGAAAACTTGGTAGAGGTTTAGAAAGTGTTTTTTGTGATAACATGCAGTTTGTTACGGTGCTGTACATATTCTGTTCTTGTGCCAACATGATCCATGGTTTTGTTATTTCCTTTATTGAAGAATGAAGCTTGAAGAACTTGAGTGGACGGTTTGCATGCACGCTTACACCAGGATGACAAATCCAGAAATATGAATTAACAGACCAGTAGAAGCATATCAAAGCATTTAGAGCAAGATAAACAAGGTACAAGTGAAATGCAATGCTGCCAGGTTCTGACTCTCTGTTTTATCAAAGGAGACAAATGCTCCTTACTGAACAAATCCGGCATTTCTTCCTGATAAAACAGCAACCTGAAAACAAAGGTAATGCTTTTGCAACCAGGTAACAAGTCAGAAAAGTAGTGACTTTTGTCTTTTTCTCTTAAGACTGATGGAAGCACTGCACTCCTGTAGACAATGAAGTCCTCTCCAGCACCATATACTGTGCCTGACTGGTACTTGTGCTGCTCCAGACCCCCAGTGACCCATAAGCCACAGCCAGTCTGCTGAGACCCCACATAACTTCTTCGCTTGTTAGCATTTCAGAATACTTCTGTACTAAAGTGCAAGATATGTATCCCTGGTACAAACAAGTGTTAGATCTTTGCCTGCAGGAGCTATGTTTCCTCTCTACCAGATTATATGATTCACAGAGAGTTTAAGGCTGATGACTACCATAGTAATAGCTATGAGACAAGAAGAGGACCTTCCAATTTTGATATGAAAAGTGTTTGGCAGCAGGATGCTGAGGACAAAGAAAATGCAGACAAAAAGAAGGTAGGATGGAGAGGCACTCTGTGACAATGCTTTGTTTGTAGAGCTTGTGAAGACACTTCTAGCTGGGCCTATGGGTTCTTACTGAAGGGAAGCTGTAGTCCACCTGAGTTTCTGTATTCCAGAAGCAATTTTTTACATTGCAGTTAGAGAATGAGAAGAAAACCGTGTTTCTCTTAAGTGCTGCAGGTATTGCATAAGAACCAGAAATGCAGTTTCCAATCACATTATACGGTGTGTATACTGAAGTGTGGATGAAAGCTAGTAGTTAATTTCTATCTTCTTATCCTTTATTTCTGCTACAATTCACTCTTGGTGAAGAGAAACCTTGGAGGAGGAAGAAAGAAGAAGGAAGAACGAACAGAAGACTGTTTCGAAAAAGGAGTTTGCTTTAGTTTAAAATGCAGGAGTCCCCAAAGATACTGCACTAGCTATCTGTGAACAGAAGATGTATCCAAGACAAACTAAGTATAGCATAAACTATGCTCAGAACAAACCTTTCTGTGATGATCTTGGCATGTTGTCCTGCAAACCTTTCTCCCATTGTCCCTCTTTCATCCTCCCTGCCCATTTTAGATGCTGAAGCCTTATGGTTTTTTAATATCCTCCATAATCTTGGTTGTTTCATTTACCATAGGTCTTTGGAGTATATATGGAAAGGCACTAGATGTACTTGAACACCAGTACCTCCCGTCTTGAACAGGGAGACTTGCTAGCAGCCTTCAAGTTTTTTCTCATTGCCTTTGCTTTCCTCTTTTTTTCTTTGACTTTAGTTTTGACAGTCGGGCCTTTGTCATCCTCTAGACAAAATCTCTCTTCTCCTCATAGATGTTTTCATGGGAGTTGTTTTGTAGTGTCTGCAATCCAAGTGCAATTGCTGCTAATGCATCTAATTTTTGCACTCTATTCATGATTTTTTGCTCTGTTAACTGTACTGCAGTAGGTATGTCCACATAGGTGGAAAGTATCTCTATCCTTAATGTACTTTTAAATTTAGAGAGAAATACATTTCACTTCTAGTTACCCTGTACTGTATTTTTTTTAAATAGTCTTCAAATCTCTCTTATCCTACGGGATGCTCTCCTGTGTCATATATTTAAAAGAGAAAATAGTCAAATAATATGTAGATTCTAATTAAAAGGATATATTAGCAAAGTTTTCGTGTTATACTAATAACCTTTGAAAACTTTGTGCTATCCTCAAGACCTTTTTTTTCCCCTCCTCATGCAATGAAGAAATTTGTAAATAGTCTTTAAAGACATTTTGTTTTTTCTTTAACCCCAGAATTTCTTAGCAGCTATTAGTGAAAAATATCTGAGAGTTGTTGGGGATGTTAAATGTAATGCTTTTTTTTGAGAGGGAAGTAAGTTGACCATTCATTAGCTGTTGATTTTGATCAAAGTTATAATAAACAGCCTTGATATGTGTTGCTAATGTTTCCCCATTACTTTGCAGTTTTCCAGCCTTCAGTCCTAGAGTTTGTGATGTCACTTCACTGGCTTTCTAGGTGTCATCTTGTCTTTCTGTCTTTCAGTCCACACTGAGTTTCTTTACCTATTAGCATGTGAAAGATGATAGAAGTAAAATATACATTTCTGTTGTAGGCTTCCCTCAATATATCTGCATTTGTTTGAATTTCAAACCTCTAGTTGATGTACCACAACTGTTTTCTTATTATATGGGATGTTTTATGCTTTTTATTAAAAAGAAATAAGAAGTAGTAATTAAACTGGAAATGAATTTCAGGTCCCACTGACTTCAGTAAGACTGAGGTGTTTTCACACACTGAATACAGAGAAATGAGCCAAGATGAGAGATTGCAATGGGTAAGTTTGAATTTGAAGGTGAACTTTGGGTAGAAGTGAGGGAAAAGCCTATGGAGAGCATATTTTGCATTGTTGACATACTGAACAAATAGCTGATCTCATCTAGAATATCTAACTAAGATGCTGCTTTATCTTTTGCTCTTCCTTTATACTCCTTTACTCTTACTTATGGAAATAATATAGATAAGGTAGTAAAATTTGAAGACATTTAGGGCCTTTAATATAACCCTCACTTTTTAAGGTTAGATTATCATGTAATCTTCTTGATTATTTTTACCATAACTCCTTTCATTAAGTTAAGATTTCTCTTAACAGAGGTAAAGCTCCCAGCTATAAACCCTAAATATCCAAGCAGAATTCTGAATGTTTCTACAAACAAGGAATTTAGTGGGAAAAATAAGCTTTCCTTCCCACCTATGTAAGTAATACACTTAGGAAATTCATTAAACTCCTAAGCCTGCAGCTATTCTAGCATGCAAGTAGTATTACTCCTTATGAAATTGCAGATTAGTGGATGTGTGTATGGACTTTGTGGATCCTTACTGCTGCTAAACTTGCTATCATGTGGGATACTAAAATAGTCTTACAAGCAACTAAAATAATAGCACTTTAACTCATATAGGAAAGCTATTAAATATAACTTTGCTTTAGGAAAACTAAACATACAGTTGCATGTCTTCATGTACCACACTTTTATTGTATTCTAAATTGTCTGGTTTTCCGCTCAATACCAGTAAACAGATGCAAACGATAATGTACATTGTTAGTTCTGTAAGCGCAGGTTACAGAGACACAAGTAGGACTACCATTTTAAGAAAATACATAAACTGTACCTATATAAAGTCAGGCACAGCAAAAATACTGTAATGAACACCCGGACGATAATAGTCTTTTAGAGCAAATTATTATATCATCTGTGGTGTGATGTAATCACATCATCAGCTGTGTGCACAACTGAATTGTTTCTGTATACTTGTCTTAAAATTTATTACACAGTCATCAGTAATTTCAGTATGTTTTAGAAATATGTTAATGATGAAAAATAAGTGATTAAACTGTCTAATGAACTTAAGGGCAAATTTGTGACAAAATTTCACCTTCATGCAGCTCAGAATGAGCATTGTCAGCCTTTTGTACTTGCACATTCTTTGTGTGATTTCCCTTTTTCACTTTTTTGTCTCTCAGACCAGAACTGTGTAAGTATTACACATGTGAAATTCCATTAAAATGGATGGCTCTTCTCATGTAAAATTACACATTACTGAATCAGGCTTAGTTGTATGCTTTGGGGTTTTTGTTTTTGTTTTTTTGTTTTTTTGTTTTTTTTTTTAAACATGATTACATGTAGAATATATGTTTAGTTATTTAGAAATAAATTATGTTATAAGGCTATTGCCCTTTCTATGAAAAATAAAATTTTCTCTCCTAATCCCCATTTTTATTTACTTATCCTATTGTTTTCCTTAATATATTTGGATTTACAGGCCTGCTCAGAGAAAAAGCAAAGCAGTAAACTTTAGCAAATTAATTAGCAATGGCTATGGGATTGGTTTCAGCAGTGTACTGGATGGGGATTAAAGAAACATCAGAAAACAGTAAGCAGTGCAAAGGTAAAATTATTGAAAGCTGTGTCTTTTAAAGTTGGGATCTCAAGGTAACAGCAGAGGGTAGCCTGGATAATTTGTGTGGCTGTCTTTGAATATGGTGAGAGTTACTGAATTACTATGCTTAGCTTACAATACCCTATGACCAGCTAAAGAAAAGAGCGCTCCTGTCAGCAAAGACAGGGGCTTTCATGGATTTTTTTCATCTTTACAATTGCAGAAATATGCTCTGTTTTGACCCAAGGGCTTCTGTCTGATGTGTTTTTGTAAAATGTTGCAGAGATGCAGCCGTCCTCCTGCCTGAATTTACACAGACAGTAAAACATTTGTTGCCTATTTGTTGTGAATAGTCTTTGGCCCCTAATATTTTCTGAAAACTTCTGTGACAAATCTAATTGATACTTGTGTCTAAGAAATAGATCACTGTTCATAAAAAATTGTCAAAATAAATATATGTGCATCATTGAAGACAGTGGCATTGCAACAGTTTTATCAGAGAGAAAAAAAGTTATCCAATGTTTACCTACGATTTCAAACCTTACTTTGTCATGCACAATGGTAATAGCTATGAAAGACATCACTTGAAAACTCTTAGATGTAAAGGTTAAAGGGTGGAAAATTCCCCTTACTTCTGTCAAAGACCTTTCATGTAGGCTTTTTACAGTAGCTTGGTAACCATGGTGAGTATATCGGTTTTCTATAGCAACCTTTTAAAATGCTATTGAACATACTCATTGCAAGCTCCAGGATTTTTTTTTTATTTGTATCAGTGAATGCTTGTGTATACACTGGGGATTGCCATGACTCCCTTGACCTTGATATATCAATGTGTGAAAGTATTAAAGACCAGCTAATTTAGTTTCTCTGATGCTTTAGCCCTTCCTGAATTCATCTTTGTGTCTTCCATTAATATATCTATAGTAATTTTTATTTTTTTGGTGTGTGCAGAACCTCTTCTTCCAGGTGAGTATCAGAAGAAAACAGGCAAACAGAAAACTAGAAGTTGTGTGTTATTGTTCAGAGGAAAAACTGCTATAAAACTCAGGGATGAAGCCAGATCTTGGTCTGGACCTGAAAGAGGGTGCATAACCTGAGAGGCCACTCTTCAAAGTCAACTTAAGTATCCAAACTCTGATCATGCAGAGGATGCTGCCTTGGGAGGCACAATGACCTAACAATTCAACCATGGAACCTAAACGTGTTCTTCCTTAGCATGAAAGACAACCTTGAATATTCTTCTTTTGTTTTCAGATACTATTTAACTTTCTTGTGCACTGACATTTTTCTTTTCCATTACTGTGAATAAAACAAAAGGATTTGGGATTTTCAAAACCTCAAATTCATTCATTTGGTGATAGTTGATTTCTTTAATGTGAAGTGTGCCTCTAATGGGATATTTGGGATATAAAGAAAGCTGAAGATTTTTCAGAGTATCATGATATTGGTTTGGTTATACCACTTATGCATAGAGAACGAAATGATGAGTATACTGTAAAGGCTGTTGAAAAGTCAGTATGCTGCATAGTTTGATATATAGGTACATTTTATTTTTGTTTTTCTTTCACAAATCCTTAGATAACATGACACCTGCTTTGCTTGAATTGCCCTCCTTTGTCAATCATAGCTATTCCGATTGAGATTGATTCTGTATCTAAATGTAAAAGGAGATGTTTTTAAATGCACTCAACAGTGTGGTTTCATCCAGACATGTACCTTGACTCAGTTTTGACCTTGTCATTTTCATTCTTTCAGGTATGCACTGAAGGTAGTGCTTGTATTTTCTTCCCACTTGGGTACTTTTGTTTGCTCATCCAAAGCAACTGGCAGCATGATCACCTTGCAGCTCTCTTTTGAGATGGAGCTTTCTCTGTTATCTCTTGCATAGGCTAAGTCCAAGTCACGTCAGACAGGAGATATAACCCATTCCATATGTAAATCTATAACCCATTTGTGTTGGGTTATAGATTTGCATCATACTGCAAACTTTGTAGGTAGCTTGTCTATCTTGTTCATTAAAAATTAGAAGTACTGGAATTTGTATGCATTGTGATGTGAGAGAGAAACTGAAAATTTTAGTTGACCTTTTTATTCTTATGGTTGAAGTTATTCCAAGAACTTTAACCTTTTTTTATTGCAGATTCAGAGCCATCACAGTCTGAATCAGCACCTGCAAGCAATGAGTCAAAGCCACGATTTCAGGGATGTAATAAGTAACTTAAAAGACTATTGGGGAAAGTAAAGCCTTATATGGCTTATATAGTCCACTATTTACATGTTTGTTAGATTACTTTTTTATAGTTTAACTCATCCCTGATTGAGAAGTTAATTTGGTTTATAATATGGATGAACTCCATTGTGAGTGAGTACAGCAAATTTTAAAGAACAGGCAACAGCTGTCAGTGCGTATCCCCAGACTTTTTGTTAATATAATAAAGTAAATAAAGTAAAACTGAAGTTTTCTCCTACACCAGACTAATGGTCCTTTGCTGTTATCAAATAGGGCTCCCATATTGCTGCTGATTTGCCTAAGCACAGGCATGATATTGATGTGTCCAAACCTGCTAATTTCTTTCTTTAACTACAGTTATACTCATGACCTATGATATTTTAATGTGGGATATCTGGAAGACAGGGGACATATTGAGAGCAACCCAGACACACTGAATGTGGACTACGTGACCATCTGAACGCATGTAGAATCATTTTATGTTAACAATAAGCTGAAGGGTATTTTGAGAATGCGATAAAATGTGGGAAAGCGCAGAGTTAGTTATGTAGGGAGGTAAGCTTGTGGGGCAGGAGATAGATAAGCTTGAGAAGCAAGGCCATGGGAGCAGAATCTAGAGGAGGAGTTGTTGGGGGGAGTTAAGCCGCGTGGACAGTAACGCTTAGCAAATCATGTATAGCCGATGAGCGCGTGGACAATGCATGGCACCAATCATAGACTGAGCTATCGCGTGTTTAGAAAATGCAATCTGTATATTAAGGGCTACTGCTTGCTAATAAAGTTGGCTTCTTCTGATCACATTGGTCGTGCGAAGAGTCCGTGAATTCCGCGTCATTTTAACACTTGTTCTTTTATCTACTTGAATTAGGATACATCCCTGAAATCTTACAAATAATTAAATATTTATTATAAAGCCCATTAGAAAGTGGATGCAATTTCACTATGATATTTTATGCAAATACTATGAAAAGTGAAGTTTTCAATAAGTAAAATGGTAATTTTTAGTTTCCTTTTCAGAGTGCACTCAGTACATTCTACACCTTTGAATCCAAGAGCTGAAGGTTTTAAAATGTATTACTGAATGTACATTTCTTTGAACTGAATGCTTAGAGGATTTGGCTTAACAGTGCTTTTCTCTAGAACTTTGATATGAAAATTGATTGGAAATAGGTAAACCTACTGCTAATCTGAACCCTCAACATTTTCAGTGAAAGTTTGTGGAAGTTTTGCTGTTGATGTTGTTAGACCCAGCATCTGAGTCCATCTTTGCTGTTCATTCTAACCAACAATTCAACTGTCTAAGTTATATTTAAAAAAATAAAAGGCTAAAACATATGAAAATACCTAAATGTACAGATATTGGTTAGTCTACAAAATTTTCCAAATATAAAAAAGCTTACATCAAGCTGTACCGGGGGGGTGTATGTGCAGAAATTACTACCTTATATCTGTTTTCACTTACAATTTGTATTGTGGATCATGTTCAGATACATTGAAACCATTAATTTTGCTGTGAAAGCAGAGCTTTTGGTGAAATCTACTTTTCTAGGCCAGTGTACCAGGGGATGCCCAAGCTGGGGCTCAGAGTGTTAAAACATGACCAGTAGAAAAACTGTCAGCTGTCATTATAGAGAAACATTAAAGAATAATCTTGTGTGAAGAAATTATGTATGTATAACAGGCAAATTGTTGATACCCTTAGGACTTCAACAATAAAATTTTACACTTAATGCAGTGATCACCAGCAGCTGCATGATGTTCTCCAAAAAAAAAAAAAAGTATTATTTTGTGAATTTTTCAGAATTATTCAGTCATAGGAATATGCCTTATTCAGGAATTCAGCTATCTTTATTTGATAGAGTTTTTGGATAAGGTTATAATTTTTACTTTTAGTGTCTGTAAAAAAGTGTAATAGAGGGCTGGGTTTGTTGTGCCCCCCAATGATAAACTGCAACGGTACAAGTTCTGTGTATGACAGCCTTTTTAGCATACTTTTAGGATATAACTATCAGCAATAGCACTACTTTTCAGTATCACTTTGATCTTCTGGCTTCTATTATCATAGGAAAAACATCTTTTGCAAATACTATTTGCAGTTACATGCTTTACTGGCCAAAACATAAAAGAAAGGGGAAAAATGAGATGATACTGAAACTCTCTGGAGTTAAGTTTCTTAACAGTAAGGCAGCCAGGTGGTTTTTTTAATGCTCATCAGTTGAGTAAGGTTTTTTGTTCTTAAGCATATATTGAATCCATTTCAATCTCTTTTTTTTTTTTTTTTTGTGTACAAAGGTTGTTGAAAGGTGTTTAATACAAATTTACTGAAAAAATTGGAGACAGTAATGTTATGACTAAAAAACCCCCCCAAAAACGTACAAAACCCCACCAACTACCATGGGTATTTAAAAGCATTTACAAATTTATAGATCACCTCTTCATATAGACTTGAAGTTGCTTGTTGTGCCATAGCCCTCAAAATCTATTCCATAAAATAAGAATTCCTCTGTGGCTGCAATACTGCTGACCTGCAGACAAGAATTCTAATCATTCTTTCCTATATTATGGTCTCCTTTTCTCATTAACATCTGTACAAAGCTTCCTAAAGTAACTTTTATTACTTTGAGTTGTTTGATGTCTAAGTCCCCATCACTTTTGAATGCTTTTCCCTCAGTATTGGAGTTCTTGTCCAAAACTGTTATATTTTTTGGCAATTATTAGAGGCAGAGACAGAAAGACAACTTGGCCACTCAGCACTGTTACTTTACTTTACTGTAGTTGTGTTCTTAGGAGTGTTTATAGTGCTGGTTTTCAGATATTTTAAAAGTGTACACCATATTCTATTGTAAAAATTGTCTGTTTTTACCTCGGTCACCTTTAGGTAATACCCATATGACATTCCTCACATTCTTAAAAGTTTGCTAATGTGCCATTAATGTATATTCGGCTTTCCTTAGTCAAGCCAAGGAGATGTTTGATCTGCATTGTCAGTCAACTGAGTCTTCATGGATCACAGTTTGAGTACCATGAGTTAGAATATTAACAGCCTAAGATTTCTCGTTATAAGAGCAGGTGAAGAAGCCTGGAACTTGTGTTTGTGCATTCAGAATAATGCAGAGCTGCAGCAGAAGCGTAACTTGCCACTTCTCCAATGGACATGAAATCAAAGTAGTGTAACAAATCAAAAAACTGCAACTGAATGCAAGGATGGAAATGTGTTGCTTGAGTTCACCGTAGTCCAGTAACTATGTTGGTTTATTTACTTCCGAGTCATGCAACTGGCAGTTTTCAAAGTCATCAGCAGTTCCATGTAAAAGCAGTGGGCACTTCTGGGTCTGGAGGGGTTTTGAATGTTTATTTTTCAGAGAGATGCCAAAATGAAAAGTTGGGCACTTACTTACAAAATCTAGCCTTATTGTTTTAAATGCTGAAACATTTATTTAATTGTATTGTGCTCCATCTCTGACCTGAATACGTTTAAGTAATAAGTGAGATAATTTCTTTTTTTTTTGGAATACTGATTGCTTTGCAAGCCCAAAGATAAAACAAAAGTGCAGTCACATTTTACAAACTACAGCCAAGCATACTGAATATGTGGATATATTTAAAAGACAATTCCAGATACAGATTTTGAAATATCCTGGTAGTTTAGGTACTGGAGAGTAATTTTCCTTTCACGTGCAACCATTTAACTGTAGCAAAGTCTAACGGCTGTTTTCATTTTAATGTAACTGAATATATACTTCATTCTTACCACTTATGTCTTTTTAGACTAGACTAAAACGTAAACATGTTTTCAGAGATCAAGGGTATATATGCATTAACTTTCTTTGTGCAGTAGTGCAAACAAAAATTGAATTGGCCCATGCATTTCTTAAGCATCTAAAATTTCATTGACTTGAGCAGACCTATTTCTTAAATACTTATATCTGTGATGAATATACAGACTTAGTTGTAAAAGATGCAGGATGAAGGCCAATTTTTTTCCATAAACAAATGGCCTAACATTCTGCTTTTGCAGTTCTCTAGAGATTGTTTTTCAGAATCTAGTTACATATTATGCTATGGCCTGGAAAAAAGCTAGAAATAGAAATATAGAAGTTCAGTCTTAGCATGTTTTGTCCTCCTATTAATAGTTCTAATGATACTAAACATTCAGAATGACTGAAGAATCAAAATGCAGTAGGTAACTCTCTGAACAGCTGCACTGAATTATTTGACCAATTGACTATAAAAATGGTATATGGTGAGCAGGAAGGAGTACACTTTTGACTATAAAAGGTCAGACAGCCTTACTTTCCATAGATGCTAATTTTCATCCATGCAATATAAAAATCTGAAAAGTGAGGCCAGTTGCAGATTTTGTAAATTATTGTCATAATAATCCCAGTATGTAGTTGTGTATTTTTCACCCTTCTAAAATAACATTTATTAACATATTTTGTATTTTTACTTAAGAGGTATCTTTCCCACTAAAATACAAAATGGAATGAAAACCCAAAGATTACAAAACCAGAAAACTTAAATTTAAATTTAAAAAAAATTTTCTAGAGATGACTGAAAGCAAAGGTTGCTACCAATTATTAGACTCATAGAGATGCATTATTTATTGAATGTTTCAGACAAGGTAACTATAGTAACCTGGTTATTCTTTATTCTTTATTTACAAAAGAATTAATTTACATGGATTATTCTCTTAATATATCGCTGAATGACAAACCTCCTGAAAACCAAAGCAGATTTTTCAGAGGACCCTGAGATGGTAAGGTAGGTAATATGCCTATTTAAAGGAAAAGTTTCTTCCACAGAATTAAAATACTGTTCTAAGGTGCTTATTTTGGATTGTCCACTATTACAGCTTTCAAGTGTTGACAAATATTCAAGGAAGAGAAAAATGGAAGATGCATTAGGAGGCTGTGCGTTTATTTTACCTACTAGAGATTTAAACAAATTGAACAGGTGACATTTTTCTTAAGTTTGTTGAAATTTC